CTTACTGGGGTCAAGCTCAGTTATCATGGCAGCACCTTTGAAGTAACAAGAACCACCTTTGTGTTTATAAGTTTGGTAGTAACTGTTAAAGGCAAAGGAAGCATGATCCCTGATTGTGTTGGGCAAGAAGCAAGGCTGGTTTGGCTCTTGCATTTTGCTGCAGTCTGCTCCGCCTTTCCCGCAAGCCCAGTCTAATGCTCCCTGCAACTCATCGTCTGGTGTTTGTTCATCTGCTACGCACCATTGCTCTGACTCTGCCTCTGTTTATAAATACAACTTTATAAGGCCAAAAATGATACATAGTTGCACTCAAGCATCAGAATACTCAATGATGATGGAACAACTGTCGGGTCAAAATTAGCAACTAGATCAATAAAGAGCATTGCAGTGAATAGTTTTACCTGACTGTTGAGGAATTGTAATTGTTATGACAAGCAAAGCAAGAAGTATCCTTATCAAGAAAGTTGACATATTTCTCAAGAAGGCAATGAGTGGTGCAGAGAGATCCAGATCTAATCTAGATGGGAAGATTGATTGAGAGAGAACAACTTTGACCACTTTATAGGACTCCAAAAGTTCAAGATCTATGATTGTAATTGTTAAATGTTTTTGAACTTGATGACTAAAGAATCTTGGTTTGCTTCAGATGCAATCATGTGGCAGATCCTTAAAAGTGCGTTTCACTGATTTTGAGGAAGACTTTGTTCTGCTTTTGGAAGCTTTATAGAACACAAAAGTAATCCATAAGCTGAGAAAATGGGGGATTACTATTACTACTACACAACATGCAAAGCTGTTTTACAGTTAAAAGGAGAGAGTTTGGGTTTATATGAATGAATATAATGGAGCTATACACCAGAAATCTACTATACACACACACACACAGATGGCTATCAAAGATGAGAAACTGTCTATACAAAGAGAGAGATTGCGCTTTTCGCGGTTTCTTCTCAAACTAAACCAAATGAGGTCTTAAAGGTAAAGACACCTGTGAAGGACAATGGACTATGGACCAGTTCTTGATCTCGAGTTGAATTGCAGGCCATGGATGATGTTTAAGATGTACTACCCGACGTCAAAAATCTCTCGGGTTGATATATGTACTCCTACAAGGGAAATGACTTTTTTAGTCTTCTAACCAAATTCAAAGAACTTTGCTACCGCTGTGTAGAGCGTTTCCTCTTCAAACGGTTTCGATACATAACCATCCATTCCACATTTCATGCATTCTTCGTTAGTAGCCTGAATCACATCAGCTGTCATTGCTAATATCGGGACGTGCCAGCTACTGACTTTACTGAACATGTCAGCAGAGGCTTCTCCAGAAGCTATTTTCTTGTTGATTTCCCTCTCCAGATCACGGACTCTCCTCGTTGCTTCAAATCTGTACAAAAATTGATTAAGTTGTAAGGGACCATATTCAAGAAATCAACAAGCTGAAGAGGTAAGATGTGAAAAATAATTAGCTACCCGTCCATTTCAGGCATCTGGAGATCCATGAAGCAAGCATCGAAGTTGTGAGGCGGCTTAAGCATAGCCAATGCAGCTTTGCCACTCTCAACGCATGCAACAGTGGCTCCATATTTCTTAAGTGCGCCTTCGGCAACTCTTCTGTTCACCAGATTATCGTCCACAACAAGAATCCGCTTATCTCTAAGCAAGTGTCCAAGATTTCTTCGCTTTCTGTTTGGCTGCCTCTTCTTTCCATTGACAAGTGTTTCTTGCAAGCAACATATTAAGACACTCATCCGAAGTGGCTTTATTACCACCTCGTCTATGAGACCAGAAGACTTCATCTCGCTGCGCTCAACAGGAGTTGCAGAGGTTGCCAAAAGTAAAATCTTTGGGGGCCTTGTAGTGGATTCTTTGCTACTGTTAAGCAACTCGTCAAGTACTGCAAAGTCTTTCTTGTTCCATGCGTCTTTATCAATTAGAATCATAGCCAAATTTCTTAATTTGCTGCAACGATTCCAAAAAAACAAAACTTTTTAGTGAACTAACTATAATCTCTACAAATGCCAGTCTTTCAACTTCGTACTGCAATGACAGTAGCAGTTCTATATGCTAGCAATGGACAATGACAGCTTCCTAGCAACGGATTATACATTTCCTTTCATATGAACAAAGCAAAGCAGTTTGAAGAGTAAAGAGAAACCGAAACCAAGCGTATGTAAAGTACCTGACACAGGTGCATGCCATACTCAGACTTGAAACAATGTCTGCAGATATTCCCAATCTCTGAAGATGGTAACTAGTCACCTCGGCTCGAATGTTTCGGCTATCAATAACTAATGCCCTCAATCCTTTAAACTCCTGGATAGCTAGATCGAATCGCTCAAACTTAGTAACTGGCAAATTTGTTTCTGCTTTCCCGAAAACTACGGTGAATGAAAAAGTACTGCCTATCCCGGGCTCACTCACAAAACCCATCTCTCCTTGCATGAGTTCAACCAAACGCTTGCTTATGCTCAAACCTATGCCAGTTCCACCATAAGTCCGAGATGTGGAACTGTCAGCTTGCATAAAAGGAGTGAATATTCGGCCTTGTGCATCCAAAGGTATGCCCACTCCTGTGTCCTCCACTGTAACTAGCAACTTGATTTTATCAGAATTATGATTCTCAGTGCTGTAAAATGTCTTGAAATTCCTCCAGCTTCCCCATGCATTTACGGCAGGAAACCCGCTAACAGTCTCACCGGACTCACTGCATCCTAAAGCTAGTCTCTTTTTTAGCACTGCATCTTCAATATTATGAGGCTCCCTCACCTCATCTGCAAGGTGCACTGAGATAAATATGTGCCCCTTGTCCTGTGTGAACTGTAATTACGGAAAGAACAAATGAGTACTACAGTACTAGAGAAATATGTCGTTTTGAAAGAAGTAACCAATTCATTACCTTGATTGAGTTTCCAACCAGATTTGTAATTATCTGCCGGAACCGACTCGGATCACCAACTACAACATCAGGAACTTGACTAGACACATAAACGGCCAACTGTTACAAGAAACCGACATTTCATTAGATATGGGTATTGAGAAGAACATTAAGAAGGGGGAGGCCATGCATTTTATATTATACCTCGATATCTTTTTCATTTGCCTTGCCAGAGAGGAGAGACGAAACATCATCCAGAACAAAACGCATATCAAAAGGCACATTTTCAAGCTCGAGCCTTCCTGATTCAATCTTTGCCTGATCAAGAACCTCATTTATTAATGATATAAGATCCTTCCCGCTACCATGAGCAGTTTGAGCATAGTCCATTTGTTTTGCATCAAGATCGGTGTCCATCAGCATTTTCAGCATTCCTGTAACAGCATGCTTAAACTATTGAGCTGATTTTCCAGAGAACAAGCAATGACAAAGGATCAGTAAAGAAGTACCTAGAACACCATTCATCGGAGTCCGTATCTCATGAGAAACAGTTGCTAAAAACTGCAAAAATAGAAGCATTTCAGTGCTGAAAAAACGAAGCATCTCACTTACAAGTCTCTTGTTAACAAAAAAAAAAGGTTTCAAGCTTCTGAGACTACTTGATTCACAAAATTCACCTGCGACTTTGCAACATCAGCAGCCTCAGCACGAGCTTTGAGTTCCATCATTTTCTGACAGTCCTCTTCAACCGTCGCAATTCGAATGAGGGCTTCATTGAAGATATAACCAACAAGAAAAGTAATAATCAGAACTAAGGCTGATGGTGTTATTGCTGTCCAAGGAATGGGAAGTTTATGCTTAAACCTGAAAATGAAAAATGCCATTTTCATACTTCAGAGAAGAGCAACATATCTTACAGAATGATCATTAGAGTTAGAGCCAACCTGCAGTGCATCTCATGACTCCTTGATGGATCACCAAAATCAAGGCTACTTATGTGCTGTTCACTAATATCTCCAATTTCTGAGCCATACATTTTAATTAGACCCGAGGCGTTAGTTGTGTCATAAACATCCACAGCAATCGTCTGTTTGCTGGCAAGTTGTTGAAGAAGTTTCTCCACTAGCGACGGCATATCATATGATGCACCAAGGTACCTGTTTCAGGTGAGTCTTATCAAGATATTCTAGTAGAGATATTATTCTTCTTTGGTACACATATTCAGTCCTAGAAACAGCACAACCATATATGAAGAAGATCTTAAAATTAAATGCAGTACCCAATAGTTGCTTCAACACGCTGTTCTTCAGTGGCATTGGGCGGTAGGCTCGTGTCATAGACAGCAAAGGTCAACACGACGCCAAGATGATTTGACTTGAGAAGCTTAAATGGAGATGTTAATACTCCTTTTCCTGATGCCCTTGCCCGCAAGATGTTTTCACGGTCTTCCTGCAAAGTAGTCAGATTTTTGAGCCTTGTTGAAGCACATTGGTTTGGCAACGGAAAATTTGATAGGATAGGAATTTTCAAACGTTACTGACTTCTCCAGACATCATGTCGAGTGATATAATATGGGAAACAGTTTCTTGAGCAAAGATAACTGGTGCATATTCATCTTGAATAGGTGCTGGGTCGAAATTTTCAGGAACACAATCTTGGACAAGTGTCTGATCCTCAGTTTCCATTTTCTTTATTGTCCATCCATGCTCCTTTTCAAATTTCTCTCTATCTGAGTGTGTGACTTTCAAAGCATACGCCACACCACTGGTAAGAGGCCTCTCAAAGTTTGTTCTCTCGGTATATTCACCAAAGGTTTTCTGTATATGTAAAAGAAGTTGATGATTTAAACATCATCCAAAGAATTGTTTCTTTTTCTCCTTCATGTAAAGATCCTGGAGATTAGCGCTAAAAACACACACCTGATCAATGGCAGATGGGGTTTTCCCATGGTGAAAGGTGGATACAAGAATAGACAAGGCATGAACATGGTTCAGGCTAACATTGAACTGATCTTGCAACACGCGGGCTCGTTCGTCACACATGTTTGCTAAAGTCTCTCTCCTTATCGATATGATCTTCTCATTGGTGTCCCAGAACCACCAAATGGATACGGAAACTCCTGCCATGACACCAAGGAGAAGGATGTTCTTCCTCCATCTTCCAGCTCCTTTAGAAGGGGCCTGACCACGTTGCTGTTTCTGAGCTAAAGGCTCTTGCAGTGAACCTTTTTCTTTTCTCTCAGTCGGTGCTTTCGAATGAAATGCAAAAATCTTATGGCACACTAATACACCAAGAATTAGCCACCACCATGTATTTCTTAAGTAAGTTGACAAATCCCAATCCAGCTCTTCTCCATGGTTTTCGGGTTCTTCTCCATGGTTTTCGTGTTCTTTGGGTTGCAGTATACTCTACACACAACCAAAACATTCAAAATAAACATTACATACCAAATTTGAAGGCATTTCTCTCTACAATTGAATGTTTATCTTACCTGTTCAAGATTATCAGACACGCAAGCTTCTGGTGAAATAGAATGTTCTAAACCTGATGGATTAAGATTCCACGGAACTCCTCCATCTGGAATAAAGCACTGTCTTTCATGGCAACTCTGTTTCTCCATATTCAGAGAACATGTAATACAATAGTTTGACCGCAATCCAGAGGTAGATTCCTTACGACATTCAAAGGATGTTACCTGCAACAGATGTAGAAAATGGTAAAAGTGTCTTTTCAAAGATCACTTCAAGGGCAAATCTGTTCCGTTCCACGTCAATTTTTATGTACAAAACAAGAAACAAAGTCAATTTCAGATAATTTTACCTGATCTGAATCAGAGAAGAAAGAGACTAAAGCATGAATCTCGCTCGTGGAGACGTTCTTATGTCTGAACAGCACTCTAGCTTCTCCGTTACAAGAACTAGTCTCCTCCTTCTTGCTTAACGGAGAGAAGATCAGAAGAACAATCACAACAGAGGTCGTTAAGCCACACAAAATCAAGAAGAAGAGAGGCTTTCTAACACCACCGGTCGATTGATTTGCCTTCTTTGAAGTGAGATTCGAGAGTTGACAAGTTATAGACATGTCGACCTTTTTGAGAATTCTGAAGAAAATTAGCAACTTCTTGAAGAACAAGAATCCCCCCCTTAAGGCACTTAATCTTCAGATTCAGCTATGGAAATTCAGATCTCTCCTGACCCAAAAAGCTAAAACTTTAGCAGGAGAAGGAATTCAAAGTTGAGTTCTTGAAGCACCCAACAAGAAGCTGCGACATGGTCCAATCAAGACGAAAGACGACAAGATAAGCCAAACCCAGTGGTTGCAATGGGAAAGCTTGGAGAAAGACATTGTTCACTAAAGAAATGGAAAAGAGAAAAAGGCCAAAGCTTTATCTTCTTTCATTTGTTTTAGTATTTGTGATTCGATTTATTTTTTCACGGATTTTTTATGTATCGATTTATTTTGTTTTGAAAAATTTCGGATATTCGAAATTATAGTTATCCAGATTTTTTTGGTATATTTGTGAATATCTGTTTTAAACAAAAAAAAATTATATATCAAATGTTTTAAAAAAATTGTTTTAATATAATATTTCAACTAACTATGAAATTATCTAATTTTATTTGATATAATTAAATAAAAATAAAAAGTGAAAGATTCAAATAATAAAAATAAAACATAAACTTTATATTTAATTAAAAATATAAAAAATAAATGTATTTCAATCAGAAAGCTAATATTTACATATTTTTACTATAAATATTTTTACCAAATATATTTAAAAAATCTAAATATACGTTACAAATTTACTATTATATATATATATATAATACTAATATACGAATCAGAACAGAAATTTGGATTTAATTTTATTATTTGTTTTGTTTTAATTCATAATGGATATCCGAATTTTTCGGATCGAATTAAAACGAATATTTGCCAAAAAAAAAATCAAAACGAAAATAGAATTAGAGCAAATTTAATCGATATTTAGTCTTAGGGTAAATGTTAAAGCTTCAAATTTGACATGTGTGAAAGCTTAAACGGGAAAAAGAAGAGAGTCCGAGCTGGTGTTCCTCGATAACCCAACTGGACTCAATGATGAGAGAGACTTGGATAGAGAATTTGGTTGGGAATTATGAGAAATAGGGAAGAAAGAATGTCACTTCTCTCTTATTTTACTCAAATTTTATTGGATTATCTTTCGTCTTTTTAGTGAACACCATTTTTCAAATCGAGGTTTCGGGTCCATGATTATCTCATCATCTAGGTGGGGAAGGTATTATTACATAAACATTTAATTAAATATATTGATTAAAGATCCTGGAAATTAAATAAACCCAACTAGACCAAAGAATCAATACCCCTCTCTTCTCCTAAAACCTACTAATCATTATTTGTTGTTTTGTTCTTTTGGTATTTTTATATTGTTTTATCAGCATAACTTAATATCTACTCTAAAACATATGTGTATATTTATATCGTATACCACCACTTTTATCAGTTTACATGTATCTTTTGTCTACCAACCATACTCGAGATTCAAATCTATTTATATACAAAGTGATTTTCCGCCAACCAATACAATATAGTTACATGTGAACAATCTATGTTGGAGACATTCTTAAAACAAGATGATGAAATTTCCATCGTACCGAAATAATTAGTCAATGTTCGCCTTTGCGATTGAACCCACCAACTATAGGGCAAATGTCTTAAGTAGAATGGCACGTCGAAAGACATAAATTTTTTTAAATTAAGTGACTGTTATTCAAGAG